AACATTTGTTTTCATAACACCTAATGATTTGTTTTCATAACACATAAACAAAACAAACATAATACACATACACAAATATATGCACATTCACGTACTTCCATTTCAGGGCAAATTCATAAACTGTGAGACTTTGGGAAGCTGTTGTAATTACATAAAATGATATTCTGAACTTCTGGATTTTCGGTAGTTTCCATAAAGCTGATATAGAAAGGGCAGTTATTATGGGTGGCTATATCGCCCTCGTGAAATTAAGTCCTTCCAGCTTAGTTGTGATTATAGGCAAACCATTTAGCATTTTTGCATTTTAGCATTCTCGTATATATGAATAATATGTTTAATATTGCCATCCTTATTCATAGCATTATTGGTGTAGGAAATAATTTTAAAGCTTTAGAAAAATCTGAAATGCTGAGTGAAAGCTAGAATATTGATTTACAGCTCAACCTAAGGTAAAAATTGACAGATTAACCCCCAATATTTGGAATCTTATTTTCCAGGCAAAATTTGCCTTGGTCTTTATTGATTTAGAAATTAAAGTTGCTTTTGGCGTACTAGTTCTCAAAAAAATCCAGCATAAAGTGGTTCATTTCTTAGTGTCCAGTAATTGTTTAAAATCCATTAATTTTCAGTGAAATTGTAAGTGAATATTGGGGGATGGGGGGTGGGCAAAATGAGTGAAAATGGTCAAAAGATACAGACTTTATTATAAAATAAATGAGTCATGAGGGTGTACTGTACAGTATGATGACTATAGTTAATAATACTGTATTGTACTTTTAAAAGTTGCTAACAGAGTAGATCTTAAAAGTTCTCATCACAAGAAAAAATAATTTGTAACTGTGTGGCAATGGATGTTAAGTAGACTTATTATGGTGATCATTTTAGAATATATACAAATATTGAATCACTATGTTCTATACCTGAAACAAATGTAATGTTATATTATATCATTATATATTATATATAATGTTATAATACATTATATATTATAATACATTATATATTATAATATATTATATATTATATTATATCTCAATAAAAAAAGGTGAATATTAGACTAAGAAGTTGTTTGGCATGAACTGCTATAGCAAAACTTTTGTCAGTTTTTCAGTTATTCAAGGGTAGTTAACCTAAGCAGTAATCTACCTCAAATTATTATTCTAAACGATCCTTTAGAAAGTAAATTTACTTTGAACTTTTTACTTAGTTACTATTTTAAATGTCTTATAATAATTTTATACCTCCTCCTGAAAATAGACTATTTCATTTAATATTTGTCTTTAAATGGTTTTATCTTCAACATTTAGAAAGAAACTTTTATTCAAAATGTGGAAATCTTGGCATTTAGATTGTCATCTAATCAATTGAATAGCTGTTGAAAGAACAAAGATATTTCAAAGTAGGTTAGAGAAATGAAGGTTATTGTTTACTTTCAAATACCAATCAACAAAATATTTTGTTTGTAATGCTTTTCCTGTTTCAAGATAGTCATATCATAAAATTTCTCTAGTTCTCAATTATTGGCTTACTTGATTTTGTTTTTAAAATTCAAATGTTTTTATTGTGTAAATATATCCTATTAATCTGAGGTTACTTTACATTTGTGGTGCTTTTTTTTATGTCAATTATATATCTGGGAACCACTGAAATTTTGAATTTTTTAAATTGTTAATTAATATTAGCCTTTAAAAAAGTTCATGAAAATTTTGAAACATATGCTATGTAAAGTATTGTTTTTCTTGCTGAGTTGGTTCAAAGCTATTATTTTTAAACTGTTTCAACTAAAAAGAATTTGCTACAAATGACTATAGTTTTAAAAAGCACCCTCTCAACAATTGTTTGTATTAAGTAGAAGATAATTATTTGCTTATATGATCCTTGGATGTTTATAATTTAAACTATGAGTAATTCTTTTCATGTCAGCATGTTGATAGGAAGCTCCATACTTTTCAGTGAATACAGCTTTTAATTTCCTGAGTACGAATCTGGGTGGTGATAGAGGGGGAAATATGAGTGAGAGGCTTAAGTACTGAGCTTAGAAACAGTTAATCATTTTTCCCGCCCTTGTACTGAAATAGTGAGAGTAAAGGTAGTGGAAACCGCAGCAGGCCACTTGTTACTGTTGACTTAAGTACAAACAGTGGTGGAAGTGTTTAGCCCTTTGGGAAGTTTTGTGATTGGACAAGAACGCTGGAGTTATTTTGATAAGGGAGAGTAGCAATGTGGCCAAAACTGTGATCATCCCTGAGCTCTGAAGCAGGCCAAGGAGGAAGGGCTGAAGTGTTTGCTCTTCCAGATGAACAAAGATAAATTCAGCTAGGAAAATAAACTCAATATTTTGGTCAATTTGCAACAAAATGGCGAAAGAATTGAATTGTATATTTTAGAACTTGGCATAAAGAGGTATGGGAAAATAGTTCAGCATCTCCAATTCTGGCTTGATTTTTGCTATAGCTTTGGAAATAGAGCAGAAAATTAATGTACAAACATATTTAACAACACCACACCAAATGTTGTAAACCTAAAATGAAACTTGAAACTGCATGAAGAAGGAGAGCAAAATGTTTTCTCAGGAGTGCTTACTTAAGACTAAATTTGAAGCCACAGTTTTCTTAGCATTCCTACTGAATATAGCTAATAGTGTTAAAAATTGAAGTCTCATTGATTTGAGTTGCTGTTTTCTCTGCAGAAAAATGTACCAGGTTAAAGACTTCAGACACTAGCCACGTGACTTAAGCTCCTTCCCACTGTTGGAGGGAGAATTTAATTTATAAATGCTTCTGCCCAAGAACCTATTCATAAAGAAAGGCACACTTACTATATTATGTTGTCTTTTATTGAATTTTACTTCGTAAAATGCATCCTTTTCTGGGATTAGTTTGTGCTTTTCATTAGATGTTGTATTACTTTAGACAGCTAACCAAAAACCTGGAATTTTTATAGCTTCACAAATTCTAGGAATTTCAATTATAGCAGATTTAGGACCACTTATTTTGGAGAAGCATTTATGTGAAAACATCACAGGCAGTGAGCTTGTGATGTAGTTTGCTTGATGTAATTAGAACAAGGAAGAACTGTACTATCTTCAGGTTTAAGTGTATAATTTTCTGTTGCAGTCAATCACAGGACACTATTGCTTTGCTGTGCTTAGTACCTAAGAATTTCAACAATAAATACTTGCCTTGTTTTGTGAAAATCTTCCCTGTTTGTTCTCCCTCTGAGGATTCAAGGAAATTAAATCTTCTTCTGATTGAAAGATGTAAAACTGAGGTCAAGGTAAAAACTTAATATAGGAACTGAATGTACCTATTCAAGTATATTCAGTCTAGATAGTATGTCTGTGGTAATCAGAGCAGGGTTTTTTATTTTGTTTTGTATGAGGCTTTACTTATGTTGCCTGCTTTTAGGTACCAGGCTCATGAATAGGCTAAGAGATTAGTGGCTTCTACTCTGAGAAACTATCCATACAAAATGGTATAGTGACCATGTTGTATTGTTTTCTATTAAATTTTAAGGGATGTTTTGTTCTGACTGTTGACTGCTGGTCATGATGCCTTAACATAGAAGAAGTTAGAAGTTAGAAATTGAGAATATATGGCAAAGGAAAATGTGTTAAAGTTAGATGACAAAATGAGAAAGTCAAAAGGTAATAAGACACCAAATTCTGTAAGAACGTTAGTGTACAATTTCTAAGTAGTGGTTCACCTTGATGGTGATAATTATACCTACTATTTATGAATTATTTATTGTGTGTAACCACTTTGCATTCTTATTCTTATTTAATCTTAACAGCTCTTAAGAGATAAACATCATTATGATAATCATTTTAGAAGAAAAAACAAACGCTGAGAGCTTAAGTCACGTGGCTAGTGTCTGAAGTCTTTAACCTGGTACATCTTGCTACCCACCAGACTAAGCTTAAGTACATATAATTTATGTTTAAATACATATACCCATCTTTTAAAGAAATAAGCATGCTGTAGTTAATTTGGTCAGTTCTCAGGGAATGGGTTTAGGCTTCCAAGATTTTTGGGAGTCTTAAATAGATAGCAAAGTTTGGCATTTTAAAATCCCAAATACTTGGTAGCTAATCCTAGAAGTGCAGAATACATGAGTGAGTGATCACTATCTCTGGCACCATCTCTTCCTGCCTTTGAGACTAAAGCTATTCCACTCCAAATCAGGATTTATTTTTCCCCAGGCCACTAAAAGCCCTGAAAAGGTAAAAAAACAACCCAACAAATCTTTTACAGAAAGTTTATTAGTACCAAATTTAGGACCTTGTACATATCCAGAATTCAGTAGGGATTTGTTGAATTGAATAGGCTCATGCTCTGTACCTCTAATTAAGAGACTTTTAACCTCACAAATAACTTTAAAAATCTATTATCAAATCTACTAATTTTTTAATGTCTTTATATTAAAATATATGAGGCATGATGAATGTTTTTGCTATTTCTTCAACCATGCTAATTATGCTAATCACTTTTCTATGGTTATTATACATTCATACGTAAATACTCTACAGAAATAGACAAACTTTTCTGTAAATGGCAGGGTGGTAAATATTTTAGGCTTTGTGAACCGTAGCATCTCTATAGGCACTACTCAACCCTGCGAAATAGCAGCCACAGACAAAATAATGGACATGGCTGTGATCTAGTAAAACTTTATTTCCAAAAATGGAGCCGCATTTGGCCCTTGGCTATAGTTTGCAGACCCTACTCTAGAAGGAAATACTCGTTGGTGTGACCCTAACTTGTTCTGGATCTTATGTACTTTCAGAGGAAATTGAGATGGCACGTATGTTGTAACCATAAAAACCATTTGTTTAGTATATGTTTATATTATTAGCAGTATGTATTAGCATAAACATTTATATGATTAGCATGTATAATATAGAGAAGCTATAAGTAATAATTGCACATTTTAAATTATAATTTTTTATTTGTTTTTCTTTAAGTTACAAAGTGTTGTATTGTTGTTTTTTCTCAACCCAGGGAGATTCTGTACAAGCAGGTGATGATTCACCATTCTCAGATTCTGTTACCTTGGAACAAACTACAAGTAACATTGGTGGATCCAGTGGACGTGTTAGTCTGTGGATGCAGTGGGTGCTCCCCAAAATTACTATAAAGCTCTTTGCTCCAGATCCTGAAAATAAAGGCACAGGTACAGGATGACTTGTCTTCTCTACTGAAAAGATAAAAATATTAAAGACTATTTTTAGAAGATATAGTAGACTTAGTTTTATTTATCATTGTCATTTAAATTAAGTAAACATTAGATCTAATTCAAGTGATTTCTCTTGGCAATACCAGCATGTTACACGTAATACCTAAATTTTGTCTTGTTTGTATTAAAATTCATTCCAAAAGCCATGAGCTAATTTCTTCACTGGTCATATTGATGCATTATATCATTGTCACTAAAAGTACTGCAGAGTTTGTTGACTATCAGATATAGCATTTCACATATTAACTAGAATTTCCCCTGTCTTGAAATAGGTATCCTATCTTAATTGTGAGGCCCATATTGATATCAATTTTGCTTATTCTTGTAGAATCTTATGTGGTTAATGAATAGAAAGTCTCAGTCCCTTTGTAGATGTCAAGGATATATATGCCAACATGAAATGTAAAATGGAAAGTTTTAATATTGATTGTAGGCCCTATGTTGGTATTAATGTTGCTTCTTCTTGCAGAGCTTTGTATGGTCAGTGAACTAGAAGATCTCAGTGCATCCATAGATGTCCAGGATGTGTATACCAAAGTGAAATGTAAAGTAGAAAGTTTCAATATTGATCACTATAGAAGCAGGTAAATAATAATTAATATGGGAAAAGCTATATTTTCTTTGAACAAAGCCTATATAAGAATTTTTATATTTTAATTTGATTAATTATTTTTAAAAAATACTATACTTATTCCCAGAGTTCTTAACAGATAAATTGATTAATTCTATTTGGTATACATTTATATATGGAATATAATGCTTTGTTTTATAAGGTGGCAAATCTGTTCATAAATATCCACAACGCCATATTAAATGATAATCAGCTACTTTTACTAATCATCTCCCACAATTTGTTACAAACGTTGTATATTTGCTAAGATGCCTGGAACACGGTTGATGGCTTTGGTTTTTGTTGTAGGCTCGCCATCTACTCCCTATGCCAGTATAACATAGGTTGAAATGGAGCAACATCTCTGTCTCTTTGCACTTTGCAGACTTTCTTATCTCACAGATGATTGATATACGTGTGGTGAATGTTCCTAGAACCGTATTTTTTCATCTCTAATAAATTTCTATCAAAAGTATGATTATAAGCAAATGTGATTTGTTTATAACAACAAGTAATGGTAGTAAAAAAGTAAAGTTTTAGATATTTTTACAAAGCTATATAGCAATTTTGTCATTAATTTTTCCCAAATAAAAACACAAATACTTTTTGGGTTTTTTGCTTTATAATACTACCTTGGAGTTTTTTTAATTGAAATATAATTCACATACCGTAAAACTCACACATACTTTTTAAAAATTGTTTTTTAAATGGCATCGTATTTTTAACTTCATACTATTTTGGCATAGAAAGAGCCTTAAAGTTCATTTCTTTCTGGATTCATAATATTCATTCAACAATTATTTATTGAGTGCCAGCGGATGCACGTATGTATCTGTACCTTTAGTGATGCATTATATACCCTAAAAACAGTCTTTTTTTTATTTAAAAAAGGCTTCTAATTCTACATTAAAAACATTTGAATTTTTATCCTTTATTGCATATATCATATTGCTTGTGTCAGTAAATATCAAATCTGTCACAGCCAAAAAATTGTCATAATCGTGAAGTTCAAAATATTTTGCTGCATATATATTAAGACCTATTGTAATAGTCTTATCTTACCAAGCATATGATAATTGATTTTGTTGTATTAACAGTGGACCATTAATTGATTTTTGATAATGGAATGTTTAGCTCTTTAGTTTGTTTTGAATGGTATATGTCTATATTCAAAATGATCCTTGCAAGTGATATATGAATATTACATTGTAGATGAACTAATTTCTTGATGATGTGAATATTACAATCTGTGTTCTAGATCATCAGTGACTTTACTGTTAAGTTTATGTAAGTTTTAAATATTGGATAATTATTTATTCATTCATTTAATCAAAATATTTATTGAGTATTATGTGCCAAGCACTACACTAAGCCCTGGGGATATAGTGTTTAACAGAAATAGACATAAATTGTGCCCTTGTGGACCTCATAGTCTCATGGGTAAGACAGAATTAAACAAAAAATTAAATATACAATTTACCATTAAGACAAACACTTCCATGCAGAACTACCAGGGTTTAGTGCTAATGTAAATGGTTCCATTGATTGCATTGTCAGATGCATGTTTTAGTTTAGTGTGGTGTTGTTTACATCATAACTATTTGAAATAGTTTTATATGCTCAATTTTTTAATTCAGAAAAATTGAAGAGAACAGATAAGGTGAACTTATGTTTTCCAGGCCAGGGGAAGGTTGGCAGTCAGGACATTTTGAAGGAGTATTTCTACAGTGCAAGGAAAAACCTGTGGTGAGATTCATTTAGTAATTATGCTTTTTGGAAATATAAACTGTTTATTTTTGTTCTTTCATGCAATAGGACTAATGGTTACAAGAATTAGAGCTCATAATAAATTCTTTTTGACTTATACTTCCAAAATTACTTAATAAAATAAAACTATTTATTTCTTTAAGCTGCTTGTGTTTTGTAACCATTTTCCTATATAGCAATTAAATACATGTTTCAAAAAGGCAAAGGTAGGATTTCTTTTGTTATTATACTTTATCATTAATGTATTATGTTGACTTTTTAGCAGTTTTTCCATTCATAAGTGAGTTCATGTGGGTTGTCCTTTATCATAAACTAGTGTAGTCATTTTACACTGAAAGCAATTATTTTTTGTTTACTTCCATTAACAATGCTTTTGCAGAAGATATTCCCAACAGAGGCCATACCTGCAGTGGCTCAAACCTAAACCTATGCAAACTTGAGCAAAATTAAAACTATCTAGAGTTTTTTGCTTATGGCTTTTATTGCTTTTTGTCTTTTCACCTTCTTTGCTCCTGTCCATCACCTCAAGCCTTGGGGAAGAGTGTTGGTCTCTGGGGCAATGTGGAGGTGTCTTCCTTTCCTGTACTGACAAGCTGAACAGACGCACCTTGTTGGTTCGACCCATCAGCAAGCAGGACCCTTTCAGTAATTGCTCTGGCTTCTTTCCTTCTGTAAGAAATCATTTTTAAATTATGCTACAGAACTCCCATTAACAAGAACCCAGAGACGGAATTGAACTATCCATAGAGTCAACTCTTGATTTTCATCTTCCTCTGTATCATCCACTTTGTAAATGAACTATAATGAATTTTTAAATTATAGACTGGTTTTCCACTGTACTCTAATTTGTTTCTGGGTTACTTGCGTATGCTATTTGTCACTCTGGTTTTGTGAACACAAACTAATTTTACCGTCAGCATAAGAAAATCAAAGTGCGACGTTAAATATAGCGTTTTTAAATTGTGCGTGTATTGAATGATCAAGAGTTGACCATGCTGCTTTTGTCATTCCTTTTATGAATCTTACTTAGATTGCCTTTTTTTTTTTCTATTCCATTTCCTTCTAACAACTAATTCAAAGTATCTTATTTGGTGCCCTCTTGAATCTAGACAAGGCTGTACATCTGTCATTGAGTGGATACAAGATGAGCACTACTACTGTACAGCAGTGGCTTTTAGAAGTTTAGAGCTTTGTTTTTTCTAATGGTACAATATATCTGAACGCGTTATTAAGCTAATTCTTTTAAGTGCCATTCTTAAAGTCAATAAAAATGCATGTAATTTTAAAATATCAAGGACATGTCACAACAGTAATAGCGATTCTCTTAATTTATTAAATCATTGCAAACATTATTAGATATTTTCTCAGCATGTGTGAACTATTATTTATCTATTCTTTTTTATAGCTCAAAAGGAATTTGAGACATATATCTCTAGCATTATAAAAATTACCCAATTATTTTAAATAATTGTGTTCCTAGATTTAATGTTTATTATAGTATTTGCATAGCAAGTGCTAGTTTCTGATTTGATTTCTGAATTTTTTCTAGCCTTGTCTGGAAAAAGATGTCTCTAAATGTGGCTTTTATGTCAGTGGAAGTTCTGTTTAGACTTATTTTCTTCTCTTTGAATGTTCATTAGTGTCCATGAGAAACATTCTCAATTTTAACATTATTTGTGAAAAACCCCAAAATTATTATTGCTTTTTAAAATTTTTCTTCAGCAATTTTTCTACGTTTTTTTGTTTTATTAACATTTCTTTTATTATCAGCTTTTTTCTAACTCTTTATTTTAAATAGTACAAAAGATTCTTTATTACCTCATAAAAAGTAATATTTATATTATCTAAACTCCAGCTGGTATCCATTCATTTCACTTCTTTCCCCTTATATTAAGGGAGTGAGGGATGAACAAACAAACTTTCTCTCATGGGAGTTTACCTTTCAGGAGTACCAACATTCAATATATTTAAAAATATTTTTTCCAAATCAAAACATTTATACATTGAAACCCCTTTTATACTACTTCCGGCATTCAAGTGTTACCATTAATGAAGATTTGAGTTGGGTTATTTAGATTAGTGATTGATTCCACTCCCTTCCCCAAAGTCCAGTTTGCGCACCTAGAGACAGACAGTGTTGCTGTGGCCTCTTCTGCTGGGGCCAGACCATAGCCACCCTTCTCCATCCGCTGTTGCAGCAACGTGGTGATAAGACTGGGAGCACTTTTTCTTGCTTTACCATGTGTCCTTTTGTGTTGAGTGTAGAAAGCAAAGTGAAAGGGAAATCAGATGAGAGGCAGTGAGAAAGTTGGAAACAATAAAATACATTCTGAAGGCAGGATAATTATATGAAAAATGATTATATTGCACATCTATTTAATGCCTACTTTCCAAGTTTTTTTTTAACGGTCAGAAAGTTAACTTTTTAAAAAAGAACAAATACGAAGGTAAATTTTATCTTAGCTTTCTTCATTGTAAAGTTCAGATTAAAAACAAAATGAACAGTGATAGCTGAATGGCATACTTTTTTCTTCCCACCATGTCATTGGGCAATAGGCAATAACATAAGAGGAAGAAAATGGAAGCAAAAGAGGTTTACTAGTAATGGGACAGTGTAGGCTCAGACCCCTTGCTGCTTTGCCACCTCTCACTTTTTGCCTGTTTATGTGACTATATTTCCTTCTTTTTTTCCCTCAGTTCACTTCCTTTTTTTTTTTTAATTTTATTTTTTTTCCTTTTTCTCCCCAAAGCCCCCTGGTACATAGTTGTATATTCTTCGTTGTGGGTCCTTCCAGTTGTGGCATGTGGGATGCTGCCTCAGCAAGGCTTGATGAGCAGTGCCATGTCCGCGCCCAGGATTCGAACTAACGAAACACTGGGCCGCCTGCAACGGCGCGGGCGAACTTAACCGCTCGGCCACGGGGCCAGCCCCAGTTCACTTCCTTTCTTAATATCATTCTTTGAACCCTAATAACTAAAAAACTTTATCAGGCCTTGGGAAGAGGGGTTGGGAATGTGGAGTATAACAACTTTACTCTAAGTTTGTGTTGAGTAATTTGCAAAATAGAATTTTATGCACATAAAATTGGTTCTGGAAAACTTTTTTCAAAAGCTATCCTTTTCATGTGTTGAGCAATAAAAAGTATGCATTTTAATTTAATCTTACAAGTATACGGTCTTACCATAATTTGTTTATACTGTGCAATTGGGGTATGAGAGTTAATTAGACAAGTTTTGTCAGAAATATTGAAATTACAATGATACAGTTTTTAGTCTTAATCAGATGTTGTGTGTATATTAATCAAGCATTAAATCCAAGGAATGTGATTTTTAGGAGACTTGATAATTATGATAGCCACTGAAAATAGGAAAGTTCTGAAAGTCACGTTTTAGTTTTATGTCATGTTACCGTTTCCAAGAAACATGCATTAAATAGTTCAGTTATCAGAGTATGGTATCAATGAGGCTCTTTTTATGGGCTTCACAAATGAAAATACGTAACATGGTTATTTCAATTTCACCTGCTTAAGCAACTCTCTGTGACCCATATTATGACAGCATATTGGTACTCTTAATGGAAAATTATGAAAAATGAAAAGATAAAATCTAACGATGATCTGTTCCTAATTCTGAATTTTGCAGAAAAGGTAGATCATAGAAACAGGCACAGAGAGGTTAATTACCTCTCTCAGGATCTAGAACTCAGGATTCCTGACTTACAGTTTAGTCATTCTAACAGTCTTAGAAGCTTTTGCCCCATCTGCAGAATTCATCAGTATTGTAGTCATTAAGAGGTGTAGATATAATAAAAGGTTATACTACCAACTGAAATCATTTCTGCTTTCAAATAGTTGTTTTTTTCTTTTTTTAATGAAATGTGTATTGTCATTTCCTTTTTCTGGAACAGACAACTGCAAAACTTCTAGATGGCGCTCATCAGCAGCATGGATTTCTCTCTTTGACATATACAAAAGCCGTAACAAAAAATGTCCGCCACAAGTTAATATCAAGAAATGAACGAAGAAGTTTTCATAAGTTATCTGAGAGTTTAATGGATGGTTCCCCTCATTTTCTTCATGAAATTCTTCTTTCAGCACAAGCTTTTGATATTGTCCTTTGTTTTCCTTTACTTAATGCCATTGCAAGTATATTTCAAGCAAAACTACCAAGGACCCAAAAGGAGAAAACAAAATCTCCTGGTCAGCCCATGAGGACCCATACACTGACTTCACGCAATTTACCCTTGATTTATATCAACACAAGCATAATCAGAATTTTTGTTCCAAAAACAGAAGAAATGCAGCCAAGTATTGAAGGTATTGTCTTCATAATTTTTTTGGTCTGATTTTAAGTAACTTTCTTCTAGAGATCTTAGTTTTCTTTCTTTCTCCTTTTTTTTTTTTTTTTACTATGATAGCTGGTTGTAGTTTCAGTTTCATGTGTTTTAGGAAGAGCAAATATGTTGTAGTCATTCTACAACTAAATCTTTAGTAGTTATGTCAGAATATTGGGTATGTTTCTGACTCAGTTACTGGAGTAAGAAATATGAGATTTTTTTCTTCAGGGTTTTTGCTAATAAACCTTATTCTTTCTGTCTTTTGTTTTATTAAATTCATATGTTGGGTTCTGTATACCTAAGGTAATTAAAAATTAGTTTAAAAAATTAGTCTATACATCAAGGCTCCTGTGGCTTCTTCCAGGCTTTTCAGTGTCCTCTGAAATTATTCTAGGTTTTAAAATGAGGCAAATTGATAATGCCACTGCCTCCATCTACAAGAGTGACTTTTAAAATTTTAGTTTTCCATATGCTATAAAAAAATGAAGAACTTTAAGAATTTTAAGGGGCCGGCCCCGTGGCGCAGTGGTTAAGTTCACTCATTCCGCTTCTCGGCAGCCCGAGGCTCGCCGGTTTGGATCCTGGCTGCAGACATGGCACCACTTGGGACACCATGCTGTGGTAGGTGTCCCACATATAAAGTAGAGGAATATGGGCACGGATGTTAGCTCAGGGCCAGGCTTCCACAGCAAACAAGAGGAGGACTGGCAGTAGTTAGCTCAGGGCTAATCTTCCTCAAAAAATAAAAATAAAGCAGAGGCTTACTCTGTTAAAAAAAAAAAAAAGAAAAAAAGAATTTTAAGTGAGGTTATAGCAGAGTAGTTAATGATATAGACTTTGGAGTTACGCAGACCTAAGTTCAAATCCCAGCTTTACCAGTTATGAACTGTGAAATCTTGAGCAAGTTAATCTAAGTTTTTATGTATAAATCGATAATAGTAGTAACTAGCTTGGTAGTAGGCCTTACTGATAGCTTACTTTCAAGTGATGACTACCTGAAGACTATGTGCGTGGTGCCAGTCCCGTAGTAAGCTCTCAGCAAATGGAGGTCTTACCAGGAGAAGGTTGTGCCCTTTCTTTTCAAGTAGAATTTCTGGAAGTCTCACATTTCACTACTGCTTAACACCTCACTGGCCAAAACTTAGTAAGAGAGGCTGAGTAACAATGTTTACCTATGTGGTAGTGTACCCAGCTAATAAATTAGTGCCTGTGAATTTGAGAGAGAAGAGAGAATGGATATTTGAGGGATAGATGATTATGACTGACTCATGAAAACAGCATAACTTTTTTCTTTTAGTTATGATGTGGAGGAAGAAGACGTTGAATGGTCAGTGATGGTAAATAACAAAAGAAAAGCACCTGGTTCTATTCTCTTTCTTCTCAGTCTAGTCTGTCTCTTGTTCTGTCTCCCGTAGACAGATGATCTTGATTAGGGAAGGTATTCTGTTTAATATTATCAATAATTAAGCTTTATTCAAAGTAATGGTTCTCTTTTTTAACATTTCTTTAAATAAGAAATTTTTGTAGAGTTTTGTAGTCCTTAGTTATCAAGATGTCTAGAGATAAATTCAGTGTGTTATACTTATGAATTCTCAATACAAACCAGTTCCTGTTCTTTTCATTCTAATTTTTGCTAGAGACTGTCATAAAATTGATTACTTTGAGATGCGAAATTAGTATTCTCTGCATATGCTATATTCTGACAGCACTACACAGTTGTTTTCATCTGTTCAGATAGTTTGTGGAAACACATGAATGGTAGAGAATAAAGAGTTAGTCTTTATCGAGCAATTACAAGTGACATGAGAGACAAACCACTAACCAGAAAAGAGGCTACATATTCATTGCAGAGCCAATGAACTTTATGCTTTTTCCTTATTATCCTTTATTATATAAATATCTAATATTTAGGTAATATGACATATTAAAGTTACATAGGGTAAAAAAAGAAACCTACATTTTTATGCAATATAGTTCTCTGTGAACCAGTTTGAGAGTCAACATTTTCTCATAACCATAAGAGAAGAGGAACAGACGCATAAGGTCACTGAGATTTTCAAACCATCTTTTTGATCTTCCAGCTGAGAATAGGGGGAAAACACTATGGAAACAGAAGCAGTTCGGCTTTATTATGGAAAGTTTTTTATGTTGGGAAAAGAATTAGGGTAGTACATCACATTTGAAAAACATCATATTGTGTTATCTGTAACTTTTTCCATTAAAATTACAGATATTTTGTATCTAGAGAAAAATAAGAATAAACAAAAGCTTATGATATCTATATTTTAAAAATTCTGTTTTTTAACCAAGATATTTTCCATAAACATCTCTCTGGTTGGAATAAAAGCATTCATTTTCCTAAATAGAGTGAGTTCCTGTAATTTCATTAAAATAAGATATGTTAGTAAGCTTTTGTGATTTCCTGAAAATTCCTTGTAACATATATTTTATGTTCTCCATTCCATAATTTTCTAATTATTTTCATTTGATTGTAAATAATTGCTAAGGCCAAAATTTCATTGAAACATAAGAAACAAAGTGATATTGGAAGTGAGAGGTTAGGGTGAGGTGGAGGAAAATACAGGGAGAATGCTCTATGAAAAGACAGGGAAAGATCTTGCAGACAGATCAGAAAGAAAGGCAACATCTCTGATTGTGCTTTTGTAGTAATATGGAAGTGTTCAGGAATTACAAATGATCCTCAAATTATATGACTTAATTGTCTTTAGACAGTAATTGTTTAACCCTAAGTTGAGTCCTTTTTTCTTTAATATCCCCTCTACTGTTTTAATTTAAGGTTACACACCTTAAATTTCACACCATGAAATATCAATATTGGTCACAAATACAAGTAAAAAGAAAACAACAAATATATATGCTTCATCTCCCACTTATTAAGTTTTAAAGTTGGGTCTACAATATAAAGCAATATCAGTATGTTGCTTTCCCTACATGAGCCAGTCAGCTCTGACTTTTCAATAGGTATACAGTAGTGTTTATACTGGCAAATCTTCCTGAATCAGACATAGCTGTTCCTCAATGTAGGTATTTGATGTGCATTCAAAATTTGCTCATTTATACTACAATATTTTATCTATTTGATATGCAGAATACTTCTGTTGTCTTTGACTAGTATTTTTTAGTAGAGGGGACATTTTTACAGTGAAGTATTCTTTCATTTTTTAAATTAATTAATTTATTTTATATTGGGGTGATATTGGTTTATAACATTATATAAATTTCAGGTGTACATCAATGTTTTGACTTTTATGTAGGCTATATCATGTTCACCACCAAAAGTCTAGTTACCATCCACCCCTTTACCCCTTTTACCCTCCTCCCACCCTCTTCCCCTGCGGTAAACACCAGTCTAATCTTTGTATCTTTGTGTGTGTTTCTGTTGTTTTTTTATCTTCCAGATGAGTGAGATCATATTGTATTTGGCTTTCTCCATCTGACTTATTTTGCTTAGCATGATACCCTCAAGTTAAATCTGTGTTGTCCCAGATGGCAAGGTTTTATCTTTTATTATAGCTGAGTAGTGTTCCATTGTGTATATACCACATCTTCTTTACCTATTCATCTATCAAGGGCACTTAGGTTGTTTCCAAGTCTTGGCTATTGTGGATAGTGATGCAATGAACATAGGAGTGTATGTATTGTTTCAAATTAGTGTTTTTGTATTCTTCGGTTAAATACCCAGAAGTGAAACAGCTGGATCATATGGTAGTTCTATTTTTAATTTTTAGGAATCTCGATACTGTTTTCCATAGTGACTGCACTGATTTACATTCCCACCAGCAGTGTGTGAGAGTTCCCTTTTTTCTGCATTGTCTCCAACAAAAGACCCCAAATAACCAAAGCAATCTTAGAAAAAAGAAGGCGGCTAGTGGCATCACATTTCCTGATTTCAAAATAATACTGTAAAGCTGTAGTAATCAAAACAGCATGGCTACTGGCATAAAAACAGACATACAGAATTGAGAGCCCAGAAATAAACCCACACATTTATGGACAGCTAATCATCGACAAAGCAGCCAGGAACATACCATGGGAAAAGTCTCTTCAGTAAATGGTGCTGGGAAAACTCCTCTTTCATTTTAGTTAGATTTTCATTGCAGAACTCCTTTGAATGAAATTCTTGAGATTGGCCATATGTGTGAGAAAAACTTATGTGACTAACTTATTTTCACAATCCGTGTCAGTGTCGTAGCCCTTAGGTGGCATCACTAGAAGGATGTTATTTATGGTGTTAAATGTGTCCTTTAAGGCAGAATTTGCCTATAAAATGTACAATGTCTCAAATACTGAATCGAAAGTCTTTTTCCCCCATTATTTTTATTGTGGTAAAATATATATAACAAATGTATATTTTTTTAATCATTTTTAAATGTACATTAATAGCAGAGATTACATTTACAATGTTGTGCAACCATCATCACTATCTATTTCTAAACGTTTCCATCATCCCAAACAGAAACTCCATACCCATTGAGCAATAACTCCCCCTAGTTCTTGGTAACCTCTAATCTACTTTCTGTCTTTATGAATTTGTCTTTTCTAGATATTTCATATAAGTGAGTCATACAATATTTGTCCCATTGTATCTGGTTTATTTCTCTTAGCATAATGTTTTCAGGATCCATCCATGTTGTAGCACATATCAGAACTGCATTCCTTTTTATGGCTAAATAATATTCCATTGTACGGATGTACCACATTTTGTTTATCCATTCATCTGTCAGACATTTGGATTGTGTCTACCTTTGGATTGGCTATTATGAGTAATGCTGCTATGAACACTAGCATATAAGTGTCTATTCAAGCTCGTTTTCAGTTCTTTTGGGTATATACTTAGGAGTAGTAGTGTTGGGTCATATGATAATTCTATGTGTAGAATTCTGTTTGTGAGGAACCATCAATCTGCTTGCAAGCCATTTTGCCTAGGGCAGGATTTGTGGTATTTTCTGAACAACACTA